TTAATAAAATATAGAAAAAAATTACTGAACATGATTACATTGTAGAATCTTCAAGTTTATATTTTGAGAATTTTCATCAGCTACCAGCTAACATTTATTTTCACTGTGCCTTTATTCATTTTAAGCCTTAAAATTTTGTTTGATCTTAAGCATTCAAACTACGAAAAATGTATATTCATTAATTTTGTATTAATTCATCTATTAAACATGAGTTCCTCAGTCTATAATCATAGTCTCTTTTCATTCATTTTGATTGTGTTCTGAAAATTTTAGCATTTTAATGTCAATAGAATAAGCTGCTCGAGTATGGACAATGTTGTTTTTGTTATCCTGCAGCTTAGAAAAGACAAATCCCACTTACTCATATCATGGTAGACTGAGGTCGCCTCTTTTGTCAAGAACAAAGGTGGTTTCCGTGGTGACATAATCTCAATTTTCATAAGTTCTTCACAACAGTGCTTCCATTGGCCTAAGAAAGGTAGAAAAAAGCAGGCTAGTTTAAAACATAAATGTGAAGATACATATTTCATTTTGAATAGATATCAACATGTTTTGCTTTGAAAAATAAAAGTGAATTTATACAGCATTATTTTAAAGGAGCTTACACAAAAGTCTAGTACTACCCTTAATTTCAAAGTCTAATTCTGGGCATGAAAGTAATCTCTCTAAAAAATAGAGTTCTATGCACAGATATCCTAAGATCTCTAGGATACTAAATACTATATTATTTCACTAAATGGTCAATAACTACTTTAAAATTTCTATTCATGGCAAAAGTTTGTACAGGTTCTTTTCTTTTAAATGATAAAATATCCAGTAATTTAAGATAGTTGAAAGGTTAAAAATTAACTGAAATATAATTACCTCGAAGGAAATAGAAAAAAAATCTAAGAAGCAGTGGTTCTCAAAAATGGCTTTAACTTTGAAAATTTTACTTAAGAATTAAGAATTGTTTATTTAACAACTATCTCTTTAAGATGATTATCATGCTTTTGAAAATCATCTAACTGTAGAGAAACATATTTTCATTTAAGTAAAATGCATATAAAAAACCCTATTACTACATTCATTCAATAAAATTCTGAGTCTAATTTGTTTTAGGAAGGACATTTTAAATAAAGCCATTAGAAATTTGGAATCAGAAAAAAATATTCTTTTTTTTTTTTTTTTTTTTGAGACAGAGTCTCACTGTTTTGCCCAGGCTAGAGTGAGTGCCGTGGTGTCAGCCTAGCTCACAGCAACCTCGCACTCCTGGGCTCAAGCAATCCTTTTGCCTCAGCCTCCCGAGTAGCTGGGACTACAGGCATGCGCCACCATGCCCGGCTAATTTTTTCTATGTATTTTTAGTTGTCTGATTAATTTCTTTCTATTTTTAGTAGAGACAGGGTCTCCCTCTTGCTCAGGCTGGTCTCGAACTCCTGACCTTGAGCAATCCACCTGCCTTGGCCTCCCAGAGTGCTAGGATTACAGGCGTGAGCCACCGCGCCCGGCCAGAAAAAAATATTCTTAATAAATTATTTCAACTATTATTATAAGTTAAAATTTAAAAGTGGGTACATTATTAACTTTTAATTATGTTTCACACTATTTTAATTTAAAACAAAATTTTCAGAATTATTTCTCCCGAGTGGCTATCAGAAAATTTAACCTTTCCATATTTATTGTGTACCTGCATGCTAGATAACAACTGTGTTTGATACTATGTATCCATAAATTTATAAAAGGAATTTATTGAGGCTCACCATTCTTACAGCCTGTCTTAACAGTAGTAGAAAACTAAATGTAATACACTCATGTGCCTTTTCAGATTGATTTATGATCTACATTTCTCTTCCTTTTTTTACTATTATGTTCTCAATATCCATATCAATATTCAACTTGATTATTTTCCATAGCTTAAAAATTAAAGACATTTCATGTTTAGTCAAATTATTTATTCATTTTTATTGTTTTTAGTCAAATATATTGTTATGGTAATATGGTACCATATGCATAAATTTTAAATCTATTACCTTAAATAGTCAAGAAACATAAAAAAGGCTTTTGGTATGTTTTGTTATGATGCTAAGTACAGATATGGTAAAAATTTCAAAATAACCTACACAGCAACTCACAAAGGGAATAAATTCCTGAGTAGGCTTCAACGGTTGCTCTCCAGAATTTAAACCTAGTAGGATCTGAGATCTGATAACTTATTCCTCCCTCCACTTCCTCTTTTAGATAAATATATAAAAGCCAGTTTTTTCTTCTTGGGGGCAGGAAAAAAAGCCCTTATCTAATGGAAAAATAATGAAACACTTTAAACTGGCAAACATTTCTGTCACAGTTTTAGACAAATTATTATAAAGTACAGTGTTTTCTCTATATTGATAGATGAAAGCATTTCATTGTTAAACCAGTAGAATACTAATCATAATGAAAATTGGAATATAATGCCACATTATTCCATGTGTTACTAAAGTCAGAGGTACAAATGTGTTATGTTCATTGGTCAAAACTATACAACTGCAACATTTGTTTTGCTGGTGAATAAATTTGTATGCATAGTTATACAAGATAGCCAATATGCTAACATGAAAACAAAGGGTCAATATGAAATATTAAATGGATATGTTTTATTCATATAACAATCTATATATTGAAGATGTTTCCCACAATACTATTTATTGTTATAATGTTCCCAGTCAAAATTATTATGCTAATTTAACTGCTAATGTAACTGCTGTTAATGTAACTCAATAGTTATATTATTAAATATTTGAAAAAAACTTAATGTTCCAAGTCTATTTTAATTGTATATATCTTTGAACCACCATTCTAGCTCTACCCCTATTGACCATGATGAACAAGTGTCATTCTTTTACATGTTTGTTACCTCTCAAGTAACAAAAGTAGCTATTACATCCCCCTTGTTCCCCAATCTCTATTCCCCTCCCTGCTGGCTATTCTTCCCCAGGCTAAACAGACCTACTTCCATCAATGTTTCCTCATTAATTCTCTCACCCTCCTGGTTTTCTACTCTTAAGTGGGACCAAAGAATTGAAATTTGCTACAAATATTAAATTATTCTTACTTTATTCTGTCCCAGATATCTATCCTCTACTTTGTTATACACACCATATTTCAAGCAACATCAAAAGAGGCTACACCTGTCACTAAGAAAGTAAAAATTTTAATGTACGAGTCAAGTTTTAGGATGGTATAAACACTTCCATCTTTGCTTCACATCTCCATACCGAAGCATAGATGTAATAGAATTTGTACTTTAAAAATTACATAGGTTGGCAGTGTTTATGCAAAAAAAGCATTAAATACCAAAGAAGTAAGCAGACCTGAGAACCAAGTTGTTATCACTTTTTTATTACTTTGACAGTACAAAAATGTCATGAGATTCTTATCCCTCCAACTCCCCATTTGAACATGATAAATTACTTCACATACTTAGATAATGAAAACACGAGCTTATCATCTAATAGTAGTTGATATGCAGACTACAATATTCTGGCATTACACCTTCATTTATCCTTCCCTCCTGCTTTTATACAAATACAATTTATGAAATACTAGAATCATTTCTAAAAATAACAGTCTTTTGTAAGACAGACTCTCTAAATCAGAGTATTTAAGAAAGCAGTTAAAATTTTATCTATGATCAGCAAAAATAAAGGAAGTTGTTGCCTTTTAGATTACTCACCTAAGATCTGCTGAAATTTTTAACAAAATAAATGTAGTACATGCTGGTAAGTATGGAACAAATATTTAAACATTTATTGAGTACTAGAGATGGTACTTAAGGAAAACATATCCTAAAGAATCCAAGAAGGCCATGGAGGAAATCCTCTAGTTCAATCCCATGAACCAGAAACCTCTTCAAGATTAAGTTTTCTCATCTTTAGAACAGAAGGAAATAACTTCTACCTCACAAAGATGTTATGAGAAATAAATGAAGTCATCTGGAGTATGGGAAATAATTAGTAAATGTAGTTCCCTTTCTTGCCTCCTCCCCAACCATCACTATAATACTTGATGAGGCTGTGAATCAGAGTAGACCTAGAAAAATTAACCTGAGGACTGCAGCTATTAACTCTTCATAGTGTTCCAGATAACAGAATTCCTAAGTATCTGTAGGATTATTTCTAGGAGTTGTGGAAATAACTTTCCATTGTTTGGAAACGGCTCTACTTTGTAATTCTATAGAATAGCATTCTGCAGACAGAAAATGCTGCTTGAATCTAATAGTAGGCTAAATTTGATAAAAAAAATAGCCATCATCAACATTCTACATTTTCAATATAAAATGGTAGATAATAAATATGCTGTTAAATTTATTATCAGAAGAGACAAAGAACAAATAAAACTGTAATATTTTCCTGTTGACAAAATTCTTTCTCAAATTGAGAATTACATGTTAGGACCTCATATATTTTATACCTTATAGATATTGTTTTTATAATCCATGTCACTAGACTGTATTAATGAGATGAACAAACCATATGTGTGTGGTCTTAAAAAAAATCTCTCTGGATGATGTCCAGGATGATATTATAACAAATCTGGACTTAACAGAAGGTTACATAAAAATGAGACTCCTTCTGAACATTTCAATATTTTAGGATCATCATTATCCTGGAAAAGGTTTTTGCTCCTCAAAGGCTTCTTACCTCTTGGATCAAATACATTGCCTGCGGTGGTTAAAATCTAGTATTTTAAGAGAATGTGGTCTGGCTGTTTTAGCAACCAAAGGAACTCGAAGTATGAGATAGGGATGCTAAGAATTCAATAGTCAGTCAGGCTATCAATCAAGAGATTGAGAGAAAAAAGCACCAATGCATTGATGCTATACTATCTTTTTTCAACGGCATAAAAAAATTCTTGCTACAAACTGTAAGATTATAATTTTAATATTTAGATTGCTGTGTGCATCCTTACACGCTACATGAATATACTACTAGAAAATCCAAATATCTACTTACTAAGATCAAAGAAATGCTGCCAGAAGGCTTCCATCCATTTCTGAATATCTTCTCTATCGTCAACTGCAAAAATCTGAGTTATAGCTTGTCCAGCAACAGGGTTGATGACAGAGAAATTATGGATTCTTTTCTTGGAATCCTTATCCATTGCCCGAATTCTGGTTTCCTAAAAATTAAGACAAAATTGGTGTTTTACAAGAGACATTTCTGTAATGATCAAACAAATATTTTATTCCTCGGCTGCTATTTACACCAGATGTAATTATAATCTTATTGCTGATCATTTGAAATTTAAAATATGTAGTTTTGAGAATTTTCAATATTCAAACTCAGATCTAGGTTTTTTAAAAGAATGCTTTACATTTAAAAACTGAAGAACACTTTAAAGTATGTTACATATAGCCCTTATGCCAAATTATATGAGATTAAAACATAACCTCTGTTTTGATCTATCTCAGTTTAAGTGGGAGTTTGCTGTTACATACATCTTAAAATTTGCAATAAAACAAGTATAGCATGTCATAACTGTAGTATGAATTACATGCTAACTATATTTTCCACAGTAATAAAATAGAAAGTATGTTTCTTATTCTAATATTCATGTATAATATCTAGTGTTATCAGTTATAGCAGTAAAACCATAACTTAGTGTTTACTGCAGCAAAACAGGTTTTCCTCATTAACATTTATTTTGTTAAATGTTATATGCAATATTCATTTACAAAGCTCATAGCTAAAGATACAGAAAGTAATATAACCCTCATAATGTTAAGATTATTTTTTTAAATGCTCAATGCAACACTCTACGACAAAGGCAATGGTTTCATTCATGCCGATAGTCTGAATCTTTTTTATGAGTGGTACTGGGTATGACATTGTAATGACACTTATTGAATCTATATGTAGAAGACAGAAGCCTATTCCCAAGTCACACACAGGGATGGCAATGGCACATAGCAAGCTAGCAACTACATGTAGTTTAGACCAAGGAACCTTGGGGAATAAAGTCTAGACTAGAACTATCTATTATACAAAGATAGAAATGTGGCTGTCTGCATAATGATTAGTTTTATACTACTCCAGGGTAGCACTGTCCAATAGAAATACACTGTGAGCCACATATATAATTTAAAATTTTCGAAAAACCACATTAAGTAAAAAGAAACTGGTGAAATTAATTTTAATAATTTATTCCATATACCCTAACATATCCAAATTATCATTTTAACATGTAATAAATGTAAAAAAATCATTGAGGTAGTTCAGATTCTTTTTTCATATTAAGACTTCAAAATTCAATTTGTATTTTGTCCCTTATAGCACATCTCAACTCAGACCAGCCACATTTTAAGCGCTTAACAGCCACTGGGGGCTTGTGGCTACTGTATTGTACAGAACAGTTCCAGAGAAAAATGGATGAGCCTACTGCAATGTGTGCAAAACAATATTTTGGCTGGCAGTTATAAAAGCTGATTAAGAGTAGAAAGAAATTCTTCACTGAGTATAACATGAAGAGAGACTGTACAGTCACATGCCAAAACCTACATACACATATAATGTGGATTTTATGTGGATATGAGAGAAGCAGCAGAGTTAGAAAGAAAAGCTATCCATTCCCTGAAAAATGGGTAAGCAGAGGCAGGTGAATACCACATATACTACAGAAGTTCTTTTCTAAAGGAATAAATTCTTAACCAAAAATCACAGGGGAACAATGTATGCTGTATAAAATAGCAACATAACTTTGAACCTTTAGAATATCACAAAATATAAGGATTGGTAACCATCTTAGAGATAGTCTTTCCTGTCATTGTAGAAATCTAGGAATGTTAAGTGTCTTTAGAGGACTGTAATGGGACTTATGGTCAGCATCTTAATTTTACTATAACAGGGCTTTTTACTTCCTATGCCTTGATAACAAACTTTGTGAGTTAACTCTTTTAAGCAATTATTTTTACAATATAAAAAATGCTGCCCTAAATGGCATCCTTAGAGCTGGAAGATGTATCTAATCAACCTCTGGAAATATAAAGCTTATTATTACTAATAGTGAATGACTTAAGCTCTAGGAAGAGTCTTTGATATACTACCCTATCAGACTGATTGAAGGTTAAATCATAGTGAGGGAAAAAAAATCTCTTTATTCTTGTTAGTATTAAAAAAATAAAATTAGGAGTATTCTTGTTACTGAAATTGTGCTTCCTTCCACCCAACTGCATTTTAACACAAATTTCTGACTTTTTGTATATAGGCTTAAAATAGACTTAACTTTTAAATAAGGAAAACATGATTTTTATAGATGAATATGTATATTTTTACCAATGTATCATTTCAAATGAAACCACTATGTAGAAAATCAGATGAACTGAATCATTTATATCCTTTTAAGAGAATAAAATGCAACAATATATAAATACTACAGTATACACTCCATTAATTCTGGTAACCATAAATACCACTACACTTTAAAACATGAGAGGTTTTTAAAAAGTGCAAATGAAATGCAGAATTTGAATTAACTTCTATATTTTAATCATCCAAAATAATTTAACGAGAAACTTTAAATTAAAAAATTGCATGTTAAAGAAAAACTGATTAGCACCAGTAAAGTTTCTCAGTGTCAGGAAGTTTATGCAATCTGTTTTTTGTTGTGGGAAAGCAATATTGCTTTTTGTTATCAATAATGGTGCTCCTCTCAAAAAGTGAATAGAAAACACTAAGGTGAATTTTAGGACTGTTATTATAGGCTCATATAATGTATAGATGAGAGAATTATCCCTTCTTAGCGGGGGTATGAAGACAAAGAATTTGGGAATTTCTCTTCCTACTATTTCTACCACCTAAAATATCGTCTAGCACTAAGTGGCTAAAAAAAAATTTTAAGAATAAGTGAATGAGATAGGAAAAGAATAACTCAAAAACAATAATCAAAAGTTTTGTACTGATAGACTCAGATGTTAGAAATAATCTGTAATCCACCTCTTTAATTTATATATGAGGAAACATGTGAGAGAGGTGTTCTATCCAAGGCCAGAGTTTCCTGTTTTGCTTTTGCTAATCCTAAACCTTTTAGTTGATTTGGGAGGCTTTATTGTCAACTTTTATTGATTTGTAAATGGATTTAAGATTTACTGTGAAATTTTAATCTGTAGCTTGCTTTGCTTTTTGTAAATTAGCACATACTGAACTCCAACTCTTCACTGCAATGAGATAGTGGCGTTACCCAGAGAAGGCCAAGTGATGTCATTGAAAACAATCTGAGAAGTCAATTTTGTAACAAAACATAATAAACTCTGAAGCAAAAGGAAAGTTTCATTTAGGTTATTATTTTGAATTAAAACTGTACTTCCACCTTTCCATTTCTATGTACATGGAAAATTGCTATATCAGGACTGGATTTATACATTGTTTCTTATTTTACTTTTGATTATATGACCTTTAAGTCTGCTACTGCACCCAGATTATGGTCTCTACTCTTTCCTAACAAAAAGGAATCAGAGCTCTTGGAGAAATGGCTGATTCCCAGTCTGGGTCTGGAAATGTATAAGATTTTGGAACATCTTGTCCTACCAGAAAACAAAGGAAGATTATTAAGGTGTATAAAAAAAACTCAAGAGCCAACCTGAAGAGCCTTCTACTAGTCAAATACAGCACAATTAGAACACCAATAAGAATAACAATGGTAATAGATTGATACATGACATGTCTTTAAATCCATAAATTCACAATGATATTTAAAAACTAACTCATTGGTCATCTTTAAAGGATGCTAGGGAAGTACCTCATTGTGTTAGTAACTGATATATAAATGAAAAAAAATCAAGCACTTGTCCCATCTTCCCTATAAGAATTGTACCTCAGGGTAACCAAATAGCTGATGAAGTAGAGGTATCCCAGCTAATAAATGAAAAAAGAATGCTAAAATATTATCAGTTTGCAATCCTGAATAAAATAATCGATCTAAACAATGCTCATAAGTGGATGTTGAGATGAACAGAGTACCCAAATTGTATGCCTCCTGATAAAAGTAGGTAACACTTACTAAAATGTATTCTTACTGACCAACATAAACACGATCCAAAAACATAAGAAAAAACATAACCCAAAGATTCCAGCAGTAAAATCCATATTACGGAAAATCCTGTAGGATAAATGACCTAACTTCCACAACAAACAAATTGTGTGTCTCTATGTGTGTCTGAGGTGTGCGTGAATAGGAGCCAACAGATTTAGAGATTTAAAAGACCTAATCAATCAACTGCATGCACGGCCCTTATTTGGATTCTGATTCAAAAAACTGCTACAAAAATTATAAGAGTGGATAATTTGAACACTGCCTGGATTTCTGATGATATGGTAACTATATATGACTACATATATAATAAAACTATAGATTTTTTAAGTGTGACAACTGGAATATTTACAAGTAAAATGCAATGGTCTCTAGGATTTGATTCAAAATAATTCTAAGGTGGGGCAACGTGTGAGGGTACAAACGGGTTCATTTATTCTATTCTCCATATAAATTATTGAAATTTTTCCAAAAACAATTTAAAAAATAAACTACAAATACAAAAAAAACAAGTCTATTAAAGCCTCTTTCTTATCTGCAATGCAGATAATATTTCACATCTTCTCTCCTAACATGCTGTAAAGATAAGTGAGTTCTTTGAAAGGTGCTTGGTCTAAAGTCCTGTTAATCAGTGATGAAGACAAAATGCTGCTACTAAAAACAAGCTTTAGACCTTACACATACTCTAATGACAAAGAAAGCATACCTTCACAATACATGGCAAAGAATGTTTGAAATGTGTAAAGGATAACCATAAATTAAACTAAGTATTAGGTATGATTAGTATCAGTTTGATATAATTATTTTGAATTTATGTTAATGAAATCAGATATAAACTCCTGAAGGAAAAGGCTGTTTTAAAAAATTATTTTTGCTATATTTAATAAAGGACAATCTGAATAGTTGATAGGATTCAGATATTAAAAAGACTAATATAATTGAAAGAAAATCCCATGTGCTTCCTAATAATTTTGCTTTCCAAGGTCCATAATAGGTAAAAGTAACTTCAAAAAAATTTAACTAAGGTCTACCACACGAGGTAGTGTTAGTGACTTGTTCACTATGGATTTTATTTAAGTGAATGATGTACAGTA